AACCCATCTTACTCTTGTATTTATTTCTGGAGTTGCCCACGTACTGGGTGAATCAAATTAAATGTCTTCCTGTGGGTCAACAGGCTATCAATGTATCAATCTCCTGTATGGGAGCTAATTTAATCTGCTGCTGCTTTTGCAGCCCCACGGGAGACAAAGAAGTTGTTTACTGTTGGTGTCGTGACGTGGATGAGGAGATAAGTGGGTTAGCTTCATGGCATCCCTTAGTGAGTTTGCAAGTCGAGCAGTTTTACTGGCACTTAGTGAGCAAATCTGATCCGGAATTCTCTCTCAATGGTATTAATGTCATTAATTATTGAATTTTAATATCAATTTTCAGGGTGGCAGAGAACTTGAGTCTGGAAGAGGTATCCAGCTAAACGATGGAGGTGTTATTTCACTTTCCACTCCCAGCAGATCCCTTATGGCAGAACAGTCGACTTAAAGGGTTGGGAAGCATCTGGAGCAAAATAGCTGAAACTTCAGATGCTATTGGCTCAGTCCAGCATGTGAGATGTGTTGTTTAGGTTCAGATAGAAGTGGTCTCTAGGCTATTGCTTTCATTAATGGTTCTCTTTAGGGGATGTGAAACATAGCTTTGTCACTTCACACGGGTGGAGAAAGAGACAGCCATACAAGTCTTTCAAGGAGCGCTTCCTCATCTCTCTCTTATGCAGAACTGAATTCGGAAGCCTGTATCAGGAATGGAGAGCCAAGGGCAGGCAGTATGAAATATCAGTGTACTTGTGGGCCCTTCCTACGTGTGAGAAAGGACCCTCTGTCTTTATATGGAGGTTTTTAGGATGCTTTCTTTCCCCTTGGATGTGTGTAGGGTTTTTGGGTTTTAATTGAATCAATTTGTAGCGTCAGAAAACCTTGCCCATTTTTTCTTTGGGAAAGAGAGAGCCTCTAATAAGGCTTTACCTGATCTGATTTGCCACAAAGCATAATCTGTAGGTTCTGCTCTCAAACACAACCCTGACCAGCTGGAATTTGTATAGCTTTAAGAGCTGGGCTCGCTTTCAGGATGTGATTTACATAAACCTTAATTTTACAACATGCTGTCATACATATTTTACTTCTGCCTGGAAACAGCTGATCCAAGCACATACGAGGAAGTATGCAATGCTTGGAAAAACAGTAGTTATTATAACACTCTCTAATTTGTGTAGTTTAAGGGAGAAGTTTCACTCAAGTGCAGCTTGGCTAGGCATTGCAGTGAGATCCTGATGTATTTGTGCACACGCTGAGATGCTTTGCAGGATCAAGAGGGGAAGGCATAGGGAAGTGGTTAAGTATCTTAACTGTTGTCTCTTTTTCCAGATAAATGCGTGTGTGCTGTTAAAACCTGCAGTGCAGTGGGTTTATTTCACATTTTCCAAATTTCTGGCCTCGATACTTACTTTCTAGAATTCTTTTTCTGAAAAATTTCAGCTTAGAACTGGCAGCATTCAGAAGTCTTTGCACAGTTTGGGTTGTCCCTGATGCCCTCATGCAGCAGCCCTGTGCGTGTTTCACTTTGTAATGGGCTGTCTTCTCTTCAGAGCTATTCAGGTGAAAATAAAGGTGGCCTGAAGGTGAAAATAATTTTGTTGAAAGGAAACTCTGAAGTGGGAATAAACTGGTGCAGTATCAGAGAGCTCAGATGTTTCTTCTGGTTTGTTACTAAGTAGAGAGTGGGGTTTTGGAGTGCAAGTCAAGATACATTAATACCATGGAGTGGCTGCAAAATGCTGAGCTCTATGAGGAAGAAGGTAGCAAATTTTGCTCAGCAGTTAATGTTTTACCTGCTCCTGCTCTGCTTCCTCCAGCCTCTGGAAAGCAGGCAAGTGTAGGCACTTTTTCCCCCCACAAATACACAAACCTCAAAATACTCAACCTAAATTGATCTAAAATACATCTAATACTTCTTTGAGCAGGATTTCCATTTGCCCATTACTGTGCTTAGGCCTGGTGATTTTCCTCACACTGCAGTGCTATGGTTGCCGTTATAAATGTGAGCTTCCTGAGATTAGATTCCAAATGTGTGTTTGGGAAGGATGGAAAATCCTGTTGAACTTGTTGATCTTCAGCAATTTGCTGTCTGCTGGGAATGCAAGGTCAGTGGGAAGTGCAAAAGTTATGCCAAGAGCATATGACCTGCACGTGAGTTCAGGTAGGACAGCCTGCTGGGGAAATGTCTGGTATGGTACTAAAACAGAGACCTTTCCAACCTTGCTGCTGTGGTATAAAGGATCCTCAAGGCTCTGTTCTACCATCCATGCCAAGGTGATCAAAACACAGGCAAAAATGAGATCTGTGGATGAAGAAAACAATAGGAATACGCAGATTATTTGCATTTTATTCAACTTGTCTTCCCAGTTTGACAGATCTGTGCAGTGAACACAGTTTGACAGCATTTTTCATCCTGGAAGTGTTCTGTGTTCAGGTCGCTTATAATGAGCCTTGACTTAAATGGGTCAGAAATTCAAGACTCATTATGCTCTTTGCTCCTTTCCCTGTGGTGCTGTTTGGTTTTCTTTGACACTGCTGAGCAATAAGGAGCTGTGTAGGGGTCAGACTGCCCTGCTAAATGCTCCTGTCCCTGTGCTGGGAAGTTTTTCTGGGCATCTGCTGCATCAGACATGGCACCCAATGGATCCTGTCACTGGCACGGCCATGAAATCCGCATGTGTGAATCTGTGTGCACTGGCAATGCATGACTGAGTGTTCAGTGTTTGCCTTTCTCATCTAAATTCAGTTTTTCCCTTTTCTGTCTGTAGAAATATTATGGTCTGGATACTAAATGGGGCGACATCGAGCAATGGATGGTAGGCCTTGATCAACATAGTTAATCAGCTTTTATGTGTTGAAGTTTTGTGCAGTTGGTAGAATTTGAGACATATTTCCATACATTGGAAATACGCTCTTAGCACTCAGGTTCTTGCAATCCACATCAGCATCTGAAATGAAGATTGAATCTGGTATGGGTTTGGTTAGAGCCATCTCTTTTTGCAGACCTCTATATCCGTCCTATTACTTGAAGATTGGATGAGCTTGTAGACCCAATAGAGCCACTAATGCAAGGAACACACACACACACACACACACACACACACACACACACACACACACACTCTATTTCTTGTGGATTTTGCTACAATTTGAACTTCTTCAAAGCTGTATTCAGGTAAATGCTGGGCAAGTTGTATCTGTCCTTCTGCTGTTAGTTTTGACCATTCCAGACGCAGTAGTAGTGGTACTGTGGCAGTGCTCACCTTTTCTGGTCTTGGATTTCATTAGTTGCTAAGCTGCTGGAGTTGGCTTAGCAACTTAGACACAGATGTGGCCATTAGCAGCATCAGTCTGTTTTAACAGCCATAACATGAGATGAAAGGACTGCTGAAGGGCTGGAGGACATTTTCTTCATGTGTCTGTCTGGCATAAGTTCGTGACATCGCTTAGCAGTGATGCCAGATGAAAACTACTGTTCCTTGCCCTTGTGGCCTTTCTCTGCAATTCAAAGAGTGCATGCTGTAAGAGGCACAGTGGAACAGCTGACTTCCAGCCTGGAAGGTAACTTTTCCTTGATAATTAGCTAGCATAAATACTGGCTTGCTGCATCCCTGCTTAAAACCTGCTGTCCCAGGGAGCAGCCAGCCACTCCAGATGCTCCAATCATACAGATGAGCCATTTAGTCTCTCCACATAGAATCATAGAATGACCTGGGTTGAAAAGGACCAGAATGATCATCTGTTTCCAACCCCCTGCTGTGTGCAGGGTCGCCAACCAGCAGACCAGGCTGCCCAGAGCCACATCCAGCCTGGCCTTGAATGCCTGCAGGGATGGGGCATCCACAGCCTCCTTGGGCAACCTCCTTTCTGAGTGGAAAAACTTCCTCCTACTATCCAACCCAAACCTCCCCTGTCTCGGTTTAAGACCATTTCTCCTTGTCCTATCACTATCCACTTTCATAAACAGTCATTTCCCTCCTGTCTGTATGCTCCCTTCAAGTACTGGAAGGCTGTATGGTGAACTTAGCTCTATGTTACGAGTAATTCCCTTGCTTAGAAATCAACTCACCACTGAAAACCATCAATTCCAATGTTGAAACTACATTTTTTCCCCTGTTTTTGCCACTTTCTCCAAATTCCACATCAAATCAGTTGAACTGTAACACGTGCTACAGCGTTTGCACAGCCTCTGTCCCACAGAAGTAACGATGCTGTGTTTCGGGATGCAGATGCTTTTGTAACGTGAAGGGGAAGAAAGCTGGGGTCACAGTGAAGGGAAAGGGGTTTTCTGATTTGACAAGATGTCACCTCCCGTTATTTGGATTAACCTTCCTGACTCCAAAACGCTCTGAAGTTTCCTTGTTTCTTTCTGAACGCACTCTGCTGATGGACCTGTCCTTTCAACGCTTCACTCTTTGTTTTTCTCTGCTGCCTCGCTAGGAAGACAGTGAGCGCTATTCGCGTAGAGCCCGAAGAAATGCCTCGGTTAGTATTTGTGCTTTTGCTTTTCCTTTGTAGCTAGGCACTTCATTAAATAGATGGGAGTAAAGCAGTTTCTTGTCAAAAGGAGAAAAAACCCACAATGTTCCCCTCCCCCCCCCCAACTGAATGAAGCCCCAAACCCACATCCTGGCTTCTCTGCCCTCTCTCCAGTTATTCTGAAGAGCTCTTGCGAATGTGCTAAAATAAAGGGGTGGGGTGGAGGATGGGGAAATAACCTGCCTGGAGTGTATAACACTTTTATATTCAACCATGGGCCGTGAACATAAAGCTGGGAGTAGCTGAGCAAGCTTGTAATTTGTCCTGTAGTAAAATGCTGACTGTTTCTTGGGCAGGATACGACTTAATGTACTTTTTGCTTGGAATTTAATGCCATTCTTTTTAATTCTTCAAGTTTTATTTCCTTTCTTTCCTTCTGTCCCATCAAAGCTCACCCATGTTTACATCATTGCCTGTTATTTATGTTCATTTCATTGTTTTCTTGTCTTTGTACTTTCTTTTGATAGGCTTCGGATGAAGATGAGCGCATGTCAGTGGGTAGCCGTGGAAGCCTGAGGGTTGGTAAATTGTACAAATTAAGTGTGCATGTGTGTGTACTGAAGCTGCTGTCCTCCTGTACCACAGAATCATTGTTCTGCACCTTTTCTAAGTCCTCTGCAAACACCTTCCTTCCAAGGTTGTGCTGTTTTGTGTGCTCGAGGCGTGTGTTTTTGCACTGCTACATTTAGGCCAATAATTCCTTCAAGCCAAGGAACTGTCTGATTTCTACTCTCTGAGAAACGTGAACAAAGCATTGATGCATATCCTTCTGGTTAATGCTGCTCACTGTTTTGTCACAGGAAGAACTTAGCCAAAACTTCAGCCTGTGTAGCCATTTGTGCCTTGTAAGCTCCGTTGCTTGATTGTCAACATGGAGAATTTGGGGAATAAAGTGCCACACGGAGTTCTGGGGAGGGATTAGTAGGGCACCCGGTGCCACAGTGCACCACTGCTAATCTGTACAAAAGCCTACAACACTTTTTCTCCAACTGTCAGTGCAATGGTTGTCCCTATAATACACATGTACAAATCTTTACTTGGGGTAAACACAATCAGCTCTTGTAATTGTGGGGCTAGTTAAGCAGTTTAGCACTTAGCAGCTAATGCTGCTGTCTCAGTGTGTGTTGATGGTCTTTTGAAGATGGTCAGAGCCCACTGCTTCTGGGATCTGTGCGAGGCATTCAGCTGGCAACACAACAGGAGCAGCAGCAGGGCAATGCAGGGAGCACCCAGCAGTTCTGAACACAAATCAACTGCTGTTTGTTTTGGAGTCAATTGTGCCTAAAACAGATGTGTTTGAGAATAACTCCATCTTCTGCTGATGCTGTTCCCGATTTATCGCTGGTACGAGTTAGATGATTTAGGCTGGACAGTCAGTTTTGTTTTTATAGATCAAGCAAGACCAGTATTATTCGTAGCAAGGTCTGCATTTCTTATCATTGTGTTCATTTGAAGGCTTCTTCCTGGAAATCTGCTGTTGATTCCTTTGATGCATTTTTATAATATGCACCTGATTTGTTTTTATATACTTAAACAAGAGCCTTGCATTCTGTTCCCTGCAGTCCCTGGAGAAGCTTTCCTGACACGCTCTCCTGGAGCAGTCCTTCACTGGGCTGTCTGATCACCACTGCTCTTCTGCCAAAGAGGGATCTCCCCTGCTGTAGGGGATGGCCCATAAATACCCAGTACTTCTGCAGAGAGTGTCCTTTTCTGACAGGACGATCTGGTTGAAGCTTTACATCCAGCTATTTCCAATGATGTTGCACAGATTCCCTGCTGCCCCCATAAAGTAGCATTGTGCAAGACATCTGACAATTGGGGCATGCAGAGGAAGGGCTTTGACGGAGCCTGGTATATCTGAAGGCTTCCTTTCCTCATCCAGTGCCTCTGGGATTGGAGGAGAAAGGAAGAAATAAACCTGCACGTTCGTTTAGCCTGGTTGGAGAGTTACCCTTATGCTTCATGTAGGGCTTTTTTACTTGAAGTGATGAGAGCACGCACTGATTGTTTTCCTAGTGTGGGTATGCAGCAGCTTGTTTGAAGTGTGACCACATCTGGTTGTGAAAGTTTGGCTCCTGCTGTGCCCGTGTAAAGCAAAGAAATAACTGAGTGACGACCAACTGAAAGTCACCTTTAGGGACATCTGAGCTCCTTTAGCATGAAGGAAGCGCTGTCTGTGTCCATGCAGGGTTCATAAAACTCAACAGTGACTGCTCTTTGTTTTTGGATATGTAAATACTTTCTCCTTACTATTTCCATTGTGATTGCTGTTCAAGACTTTCCCTTTCTGATAGCTGATGTGTTTTTGGCACTCCGGGTCCCTGTGGGGCTGGTTGCAGTAGGAATTACTCTTTGAAGCAGCCATTCTTTTCCAGCCCTCAACGTGTGCTGCACCAGAGGTGTTGGTTAGAGCACAGCAGCCAGGCGCTTGAAGCTCTGCAGCTGGGCTGTGCTGCAGCCAATAGCCTATGAGTTATAATGCTGTCCCCAGTGCATCTGTGCCTCCTGCAGGGAGACTGTGGGCTGCAGAGGTTGGACATCTTTAGCAGCTTTTTCGTGGCTCATTCTGAAGCCATCAATAATATCCTGCCTTTCTCGTTTCTTTCCCATGCGGTTTTTCTTAAGGAGGCTCAGTAGCACCAGCAGTGTTTGAGATGCTGCTTTCCTTCAGTCTTTACTGCAGGCGCCTTTGTTCCCCCACTTCTCAGCTGGCTGTCATCCGAGACTCCAGCACGTAAGGCTGCTGCTATTAGTCACTCAGGACACAATTTGGGCACGTTTCCTTGCTTTGTCTACTCAACAAAGTTCCCAGCTTCTGGCTTCGTGCATCACCAGAATTATTTCTGTAGGATTTTCATCTTGTAGGGGATGAAGGAGGTTGATTGCCATCATTTGCTTCGCTCTTTTCTGTTGTTGTTCTGATTTCTGTTCTTTTGACAGTCTCATGTGGAGTATGCCAGCGCCTACCCAGTGGTGAGAATAGCCTGAAAGTTACCTTGTGTGTTTAAAAACTAAGTGTGGGGAAAAAAAACTAACATCAAGTGTGATAGCTCATCTAAGGTGAGGGATGAGCAATAATACAACTCATCACAGGATGTTCATTGACTGCACTGAGGTAGATCTGCATCTCAGGGGCACGGGAAGGACCTAGTAGGGGAAATGAATGCTGGGACTTGAAACTCAGTGTTTAAATCTCCTCACACTGTTAGCTGTGCTGTTTTGTGCCAGTGCTGTGTCAAATGGGAGGTCTGTCTGTTGCTTCAGGGGAGAGCAGTTTTACAGACTAGCTTTTTTTTTCCTCACTCTTCTTCGTTCCCTGCCCTATTTCAGATTAGGAATGCAATGAATCTGTTTGAGTGACCTATATACAGAAATAGTCCAAAGACATTTGGATTTTGCATGGATGTATTGATGTAGTAAGTATAGACAGCTGGTAGCTCAGTGAATTGACTTAATCCAGCAAGCATGAATAATTTTAACTGTAGCTACTAAATTTAACAATACTATCATCGCTTCTAACAATATTCTCTAATAACTGGCCATTTGACTTTGAGATCTGATTTTTTTTTTCATGTGTGCTTACTGAGCCATGTTCTGTAGAGCTGGAGAGATGCTGAACTGATGGATTTGCTCGATGCTGTGCATGCCTGGCTGTGGTGTGTGCACATAAATGCACTGATCTTTTCACCCTGCATTCTTAATCTCACTGCAGGCTGGATTAGAAAATGAGAGGACCAAATGGAAGAACTACTCCAAAGCAGTATGTATCTGTCTGGCTGAGGCTTTTGTATACAAAAATGCTGTGATGAGACTAGAGAAGCAAGTATGCTGGCTGTAAGCTCTCCAGCCCAATGTCAAGGATACGATGTAACTCACGATTTGCCTCCACAGGAATGCCTAGAATTGCTTTATCTGTAAAGTGTAGCATGATCCAAAGGTCTGTGTCAGTGTTGTACATAGAGAGCCTTCTGAAACACTCAAAATCTAGCTCAGGCTTTAATATTACACATGTAAAAAAGGTGAAGTCGATGGTAAGTATGTGTAGTAAAGACTGAATCTTTTCAGCTAAAAGAAGCAGTATTTTTTTCATGCATGAAAGTAGTAGCTTAGCAACTTCATTTACAGCTTCATTTGAATACCTAACAATTGGGTAAGGCTTCAAGAGCACAACATTTGCAAATTAGATGCACATTAGCTAGGGGTGATGAAGCTTTTGGCTAGAAATAATATTCAGGAGGCTGAGGGAGCTTGCTTCCATCCCACATTGTCTGATTGTTGGTAGCACAACTCTTGGAGTTACTTTCAGATAGGGATGTTAGTTATCCAGTACAACACATGGCACGTTGTGAATGGCAGTGCTTCCAGCCAGGTACTCAGCATGCTGGGCTGGTGAAACACCAGGAGAACTCAGTTGCCTGGGTTTTGGAAGGAAATCAGTCTAACGACGTGCCTCCCTTTAATGCAGTGACATTTTGATGTTTCTTTACTGTAACTTGGTAAACATTAGTGTTTCTCAGGAAACCTAAAGGCATTGATCTTGCCTGGAATTGCCCTAGGAGGACCTGCATTGCAAAGCTAGATCTACATGGAAGGTAAAGAGCAGCACTCAGGATGTCAGCTGAAATCTCACGGGGAGAGACTCAAGGAACTGAGAGAGAAAAGGATGAGTTCATAGTTCTCTCCAGTATGCCATCCTGTTTGTTTCAGTTTTCATAAAGGTTTTGATCAGATGCTTAGCATAAAACAAAGGTCAGCAAGATCTGATGAAGCTCATCCTGCAGAGCTTTGGCTGGAGCATTTGCCTTTGGAAGTGTGAGCTGGGGAGGTCCCTGGAGAGAAGGGAACAGTGGTCATTGTGGCAAAGGAAACGACCAGATCTGTAATGCTTCAGTTTGAAATCTAAAAGATAAGAGGGCAAATGAAAATAATTGTATTGAGAAGTGCCTCATTAACAGCAGTAGATAACCTGGATTTGTGAAAAATGAATCATGGCAATTCAACATAATTTCCCAAAGCAAGGTAATTATTAAAGGGCATAAAGGAGAAGCATTAGATGAAACTCTATGACTCCAAGGATTTTGTGCTTCTGCTTAATGCTCTCGAGTGAAAGCTTTGCCAAGATCAAGTTCTTTTAAAAGAGATGCAGTTAGTTGAAAAATAGCTTTTGGGAAAACTAGCAGCTGGAAAGGATCTCATCTGGGCTCTTCCCATCTAAGACAGCATTGTCTGCTTATCTATAGAAGTCTGCAGCACCTGGTTATCTGCATATAGAGAGCAAGGATGTGTCCTGGAGGTTGGAATAATAGGTAGATTAATGTTATTCTTTTCCTTTAACTGTATGGTGTATGGTATCTCTTTGGCTTGAAAATGGGTTCAGAATGGGCTTAATGACTTCAGCTGTCTCACTCTGAATCTCTTATTCACTCTGAGCACGTTTGTGTTTTCTCCTCTTAGAGCAAGCTTACGTGCTGCAACAAGGCAGGGTGTTGAGCATGCAGAGGCCAGCTGAACCCACTGAAACCCCTTGTAGTCTTTGTGTTGCCTTGCCAAGCGTTGGCAGGTGGTGGATGGTCGCTGTCTGGGGTTTGTTTTGGTATAGCTGGGGAAAGCCAAAAAGAGATTTCATATATCATTCTTTGTCAGCTGAACAGAATTTCTTGGATATAAATTTAAGTTCTTAGCTATAATCTGCTGCTTTTTAAGGTGTTCAGCTGCCAGGAATGTAAGTAACTACTGTGATATATTTATTATACTCTCCCGTCCCTTGTGTTTCCTTTTCATCCTCTGTTCTCTTTACAAAGAGTTTGAAGAGTTACAGGTGTTACAGTGCTATAACAATGGGGGAAGCAGAGGTTTTTCTTATCAAGAAGAAGAAAAGGGTCAAAAAGGCAGGCAGGAGTATCCTTGACATTTTTTGGCTGGTTTGCAGATAGCGACGGACACAAAAGTGTTCACATCCTCACGTTTAAAACCCTGACCTAGTTCTGCACTTCTGTTCATGGTTAAGCTTTGAAAAGTTCACTTTCTGCTTTTGCTTTTCATAAATGATGGCTGTCACACAAACTTGACTGTTGGGACTGCATCAGTTTCTCTCCTTTTCTTTCCTTTTCTCCCCTTTCTTTCCATAACAGACCAATGGTTACGAGGAAGACATGTATGGATCGTCCCAGAGTAGAAAATCTAGCAGGGTTAGTATGTTGTAGTATGATTTATATTGCTCTAAAATCTGTTGCTGTATTTAAGGGGATTAAATCTAATTAGCGAATTCTTTTGTGTGGTGAAGCAGGTTTTTCCTGCCTTGCATGTTGTGGGTTTTGCAGTTTCTCAGATGTAGAGGTGCAGCAATAAGCTGTTTAAAGAAAAAATGAAACTAGGTCGTGAGTGAGAAAGGAAGTCTCTGCATTTGATACAAGAACTTGGAAGCCGGAATTGCTTAACTTGTAATCAAAATTGGGTAAAAGTTGAACTGTAGCAAGAAATATCTTGATGGCAGGAAGGGTTTGCAGGCGCTGTCTGTGCAGGTGCTGCGTATCAGAGCTTGTTTTGCAGCCTGTGCAATGCGCTCACATCGTGTGCAAGGCTGAGACTCCCTAACCTGGGAGTACTCAGTGTGCATTTGCACATGAGCCCTGCAATTGGCCTTTGGACTTTCCCAAAGCGTTTGATGTTTATGTGAAGTTTGCTTCCCAAAGCACTTGTTTGTTTTCTACATCACGTAGAGGTTCTGGAAGTTCCCACAAAGGTGAACAGCCAGTGAAAGTGTTACTGCTGAGCTGTGTGATATCACCATTGATGTACTGCATTGCTAGGAATGTTCATAGAAAAGCTTACTGGAAACTCCACTGTGTGTGTGCGTATGGTTTTATGCATCTGGCCTGTATGTTTTGGTAAGAGAAGATGAAATGCTGTTGCTTAAGCTGTTAAGAAACAGCATGTCCTGCTGCTGGCCCTCTTGCTGAACTGTTGGGAGTTCAAGGAGCCTTATGTAGTGCTTCTAATGGTGTTCTTGTTCTTCTGTGACACATTTCAGGTGCAGGAAGAGCAAAATGTATGTAAGAAAGTCATCCAGGGAAAAACACTGCTTGGGTTCCATTGGAATGATTGAAAATCCTCTTGGTATGATAGGGATAGAATAAAGACCTTTCATTTAAGCCTCTACCTCACAGATAGAAAGGATGAACTATTTTCACGTGTCCTCTTACCTTGAATGCAGTTTCCTTAATGCAGTTACCTTTTTGTACCTGTGATCACGTGGACTTCTCAGTGTTCTTAACCAGTGCTCTTCCTTATGTACTTTTTATTTCCCACTTGAAGGAGTTTAAAGTCGTGTTATTGAGTTCTCAAGGGCTTTTTGTTTGCAATTAATGCAGGCTTCATACTACCCTGATCTGGGTCTTCACAACAGTGGCTATGCTTCCACGTCTCAGCCTTCTTCCCAAAATGGAAACTGGGTCTGTTGTCCACTGGTTTTCACCTGGCCTGTGCTTCTCATTCTGGCTTTGTTTGGATAATGTGACCTCTTGTATAAGAAATTAATCTGCACCAGTTGTCAGGAGTTGTAGCTCTTAGTGAAACTGCCACAACCAAAGAGAAAAATCCCAAAACCAAAGCAATGTTTTTGCTTTAAGGTTGGAAAGAGTAATGGCAAGCCATTTTCACGTGGGCAGAAGTAGTTTTGGTTTGGTGCTCCTCCCTTTCCAATGGTTAATTTTCTTGCTTTTGGCCTAAACTGCTCTGCAAAAGTAAGGGAAACGTCAAGTTCTTCAGGCAATTCTATTTGCCTGAAGTGATGCTAGAGGCAAAATTCCAAAGCTTCCCAGTACCCTGAGAGGTTGCATTGTCCTCTGCATGCGGATGGAGCTGGGCAGCAGCATGCTGAGGCTCGAGCAGTGTTCTGAGCAGGACAAGGCAGTGTCACCATGCTCCTGACAGCTGGGGGTGGCACCAGGCCTGTGAGCTGGAATTGCTGCTGGAGCATCACAGCAGTACGTGCCTGCTGCCCTGAGGTGTGCAGTTGATTACTAACAGTGCTCTGACTCAGGTAGTCATAACTTCGTCCTGAATAACTGGGGTTTCTCTGGGCTAAGTGGCAACACACGAGAGGTGGAACACTCACCATGTATAGCTTAAAGTATTTGTCTTTGCACGTAGCTCTGTGTCTGGTTTTGGTTGAAGTGAGGAGAAACACCCTTTCTGGCTGCTGCACACAAACGTGTTGGGAGATAATAACAATAACCTAAAATTAAATTATGCTCTTGTGCTTCTCTATACTTTGGTGTCCTCCCTTCCTGTAGGAAATGCATGTGTGCTTGGTATTCTCACTCTTGAGAGATGAGATCTAATGCTTTTATGTATCAGACAACTACCATTCTTTATACTGGGTTTCCTTCTGTTGTGGTGTAATAATCCTAACCTTTTACCTGTTGTGAATTCTGCTATAGGCACCCTTCTTTTGTTGTTGGTTTCATTTTCTATGCCAAAAAGTGTTGTGCTTGTCTTCCTCAGCCCTCCTTGCTGTACAGCGATGCCCTGCCAGCCAGAAGTTACAGGGTTTGTTGTACTAACACTCAAAACACAAATACTCAAGCCACTCACTTCCAGCCATGCACATACTGTCTTTTACCTCTGTAGTTCTCATTGGCTCCAATTCTTTCACATTCTGGTTTCACCTGTCTGATCCATCTGAATGCCCGTGTGCAATGCTGTTTGTACATCAGACTTGCTGATCCTTCCTCTTACACCCATTGGAAACTTACAGCTGCTGCTCGTGGAGTTGTGGAGCTTCTGTGGGCTTCCCTTGGGATGCAGGCATCTTTGTTTTGGTGCACCCTTGGGATGAACAGGGGCAGGCTGGAGAGAGGCAACATCAATTCTTCCTTGCTAGCCAAATTCCATGGTTCTTGTTGAAACCTAAACTGTCAGTGATGCTTGTTTTAATTCTCAACACTTCAAGGCAGAATTGCTTCTGCTTCCTGAACTGGACACTCCCAGGGTGAACTGGAGCCCAGTCTGCATCTTCCTCCTTTTTTATTAGTTTGGAAAACCAGCTCATCGTTGGGCTTCGTGTGGCATTGTGTGTTTTGCAAGCACCAGAAATGAAATCAAGCAGACATAAGAAATTTAAGAATTGATGTAGCCATTTTGGTCACGGGTAACATTAACAGTGGAATTGGTGATGGACTAACTGCTAGGAATGCATGGCTCTGTGATGAGTATGGGGGAGTCATTCAGGTTTTGCACGTACGTGGTGGGGTTTCCCAGCCTGCTGACTTCAGGTTGTGTTAATTATTCACATGCATGCTGCTTGTGGTTGTTTGCAGGAGATGCTCTTCGTTCCCCTGTGTCCTTGCACCGTGTGAATCTGCAATGCTACAGAGTGAAAGCAGAAACTTAGATCTGCCAGGATTGTTCTGACTCTGTCTTTTACTTGTAGGCGTCTGTGTATGACGAGAGTGTTTACAGCGGGAGTCGTCGCTATAGTGCCTCTAGTTCTCGTGCTGTAAGATGTTTTCTGCATTTCCCCCTTATCGTGTCTCTGTCCTTCAGTAACTGTCTTTACCAGAGCTGCAGGCTTTTTGGGGCTGAGGAGTGTTCAGGATGGACTGTGACAGACTCACAGCCTGCTGCTGTAACAAAGTGCAAGCTCTGATTCCGTGGGCCTGCACCAAATCCTAAATTCTGAGCTACGTGGTGTAGCAGTGCATCATCGCCTTGCTGTGCAGGTAGCAGAGCCCAGCAGCAGGCGGTGTCACTGCAGCAGCAATGGGAGCTCAGCTCTGCCCCTGTGCTTAGCTTCCAGCTCAGGTACCTTGGCAGAAAGTCCCTTCGCTCACTGAGACCTCATTTTTCTTCTGCAAACTGAGATTAATATAGATTAAAAAGGAATCTTGCTTCCCCACCATTACTCTGTTAGCGTGCACAAGCATAGCTGTTAATGTGTAAAAACTGCAATGTAGTTGGCTTGAAGGAGGAAACAGACTTTCAAGAATGCCCACTGTTAGGCATTAAAGGGCCCCCCGTTGCATAATGCTGCCTCATTAGGAGCGCTGTGCGTCTTACTGCTAGTGATCTTAAGCTTCAAATTACTTTTTGTTTCCCAATTACGCCTTGTTTGCATTTGGCTGTCTTGTGGAATGGTCTGCCTGCACTTCAGTGGATTTGTTGTTTGCGCTGCCCTAAGCTGGTTGCATCCTTTGTATGACAGGTCTTCCTTTGTAGGTAAACATCTCAAAGCACCATTTGACACAGTTCTGATTTGGGGAGAAATAATTCCCAGTGGACAGCTTGAGAGCTGTTTACAAGCCCCACTGCTAATGGGCTGAAGATGAAATCAACTCTGGTGCTTGTTCCCTTTCATCTGTCCCCATCCAGCACCATGCTGCAGATCCTGTGCATCATCACCCCTCTGGTTTCACAGAATCCTAGAATGGCCTGAGTTGAAAAGGACCACGGTGCTCATCTAGTTTCAACCCCCTGCTATGTACAGGGTCACCAACCAGCAGACCAGGCTGCCCAGAGCCACATCCAGCCTGGTTTGTGTTACACAGTGGTCTGTACAAGAGTGAGAGCTGAAGCATGCAACTTCAGCCTCACGTGGCACGGCTTTGTCACAGCTGTGGTGTTTCCAGTAGGAATTTCAGCATCTCTGAAGCCCATAGCTCTGCTGTCAGAGGATAATGCAGTGTGGGTGGCTTTGTGGTCAGTAGCTATGCCTGTGTTGGACTGTATTCAGGGTTGTTTCCAACTACTCTGATAACATTTGTTAGTACTGTAAGCTTCGTTTATGCTGTGCATGATGGAAGACAACAAAACAGACCTCCAGTAGCGAAGGCCTGGGTGTCTCAGTAGCAGTTTTAGGGGACTCCTGTAGTGTCCAGGCAAACTAATGGAGAAACCTCCAAATACAAGAAGAGTAGATGCATATCAAAAGTACGATAATTCTTTAGATTTCATATCCCAGAACAGAGGACTGTGAAAGCAACTCTCAGAGGTCACACATCTCCTCAAGGTACTGGGGACTGAACTTGGGCTTATTGCTGCTCTGAGCTGCCTGTTTCCTCTGCTCAGTGCCAGGCTTTGTGCAGGAGATCTGATGCACTCACATGACCCTTTGGAAGGGCCACAGTGCCTGGAGGGGGTGCTAATAGGAGAAACAGTATGTTTAGCAGATACCCAGGGGCTTGGTTCACTTGTGTCTGTTCTGAATGTGTCTCACTCTCTCACATATGCTTATGTTCTATAAAACCTTGTGAGTACAAAGCTGCTGCTTGGAAATTGCAAAACACAGGGAATAGTTCTAAGATTAACATACAGGGTAAGTTCTGGGTCTTGTTTCCCTGCTGCTTCAAACTTTCGTTTCCATTCTGTACTCCCACTGCATTATAAGCTCTGAAAACAAAGCAGGATACGTGCATTCTTTGCCCTTGTCAGCGGCAAGCCAGCCCTGTCTGCTCTGCATCACTGCTTTGGTATTTGCTTTTATGAAGAGCTAAAATACTTCCTTTGGCAGGAGGTGAGGGCTGCAGGTGCTGGAAAATCTGCAGCTCTCACTGCAGACTGAAGGTTCTTCAGTCTCTGAGACGGTCTTGATTTCTGCTCCAATCACTGTGGAGCTGTCTGGTTATTGCTTTGGCCTGTGGAACATGGATTCATTTTATATGTGTGCAATGTTGGAAGAGCAAGAAGGCTTTCTGGAGAGCCTCGGAGCTCTCAAAGTAGGATTGAGCCTTTTGTGTAGAAGTGGAGGGCTTTTTGATTGTGAATGGTGTCCTAATGTATTTAAATACAAGTTACTGTTCTTGTTCTGCCATACTCTGAATTGAATCAAAACTCTTTCCTTGGTAAACTTCAACTAGAATTAGTGTTTGCCCTTTTTTTTTTCCTTCAAATTAACACCTGAAGTGTCTGTTCTCTGACTTGAACTGCTCTTCCTTTGTCCAGCTGCATGTACCCAGTAACTGTAACTATGCAGTGCTTTAATTTCTATCTTGCTTCCTTTCCCAGTCCTAATTCTTTTCTCTCCTCTCTGCTTGCTGCTCCTGGATTGCTCACGGCAGCCTTCAGAGTACAGCTGTTACCTTGGTTCGGGATCTCGGGCGTCCTCAAGAGCCAGCTCTGCTCGGGCCAGTCCAGTGGTGAGCTCCTCTATTTTCCTGTTCTATTTCTCTGTCCTTCACGCTCTTCTCTGCACAAAGAGGTCGTTGTCCCTCATGAGACAGTTTTTGATTCTATTAATTGGGCCATCTAGGTGATACTAGAGACAAAGAAAAGGGGTGAACCAGATGAGAAGTTACAAAAACAGAGGGAAAATAGAACTGGCATTCTTACAGGAACCTAGAGGGTTATTGTAAAGACACTAAATTGTGTAGAGATTTAAACACATTGGCAAAGGATATTGAGGAAAAGATTGCACTGTTGATGGATAGTGCTGCATCTCCTGTGACTGTTGCAATCAGGAAACCCTACAGCTTATTGCAGCATTCCAGTTTCTCTCCATTAGCAGTATAGTGGTGCTGCTGCAGGGCTATCTAGAAATTGGAGCTGAACATACTTGTAGATGAACATACTTGTAGACTACCAGACGAGCAGAGTCTCTAGCATCATGAAGTGCTAGAGGTAATATGTGTACTTAGCTTGGACAGCATTGTGAACTCCTGAGTGGTGATGGCTGGGCAAGGCATAAAAACTAAAGGCTGTGCAACTCCTGTGACTGTAGTTGGCCGAGACATCTACTTTTTCCCCTGCTTCTTACTGATAGAAAGTAGCTGTCTCCTATCTTCAGTGGCACGTTGCTGTTTTCTCTTGTTCCATCTAGTTGTTCCCACCTCTGAGTACTTTGTTGTTTGTTTCAGAGCAAGGCCTGATATTGTGGTGACAGCTTTCCTTTTACAGGAAATGTGCAGCTTGCAGTAAACTCATCTGTAACCAGTCAGTCTTCACACTGAGTGTGTTTGGAAGTGTGGCGCTGCATTTTCGTGCTCCTCTTAGTGAAGCAGTAATGTGGTGATGCGGGACCTGTTACGGATTGCCTATCATGTCCTCAAGTTGCAGAGAGATCAGGATGGTGGTATGAATTAACACACATAGCATGCTTCCCTAGTCATAACATCTATTGCCTTGTTGGCTTTTAGAGGGGGATATCTGGATACTCAAGCTAGCAAAGCAAGAAGCGAGGTAGGCTGTACCATGGAAATCTGGAGTGGTGTTTTTCAGTAACACAGACTGCCTGCAGTGATGAATGGCATCGTATCAGGTGTCTTCCATCACACAGTTCCCCCCAGGCACAGCCTGCAGTTTGGAAATGCACTTTTGGTACTTTGTTCCACAGCTGGAACTGCACAGAGTGCCTGCAGCATAGTGGGGATGGGTGCCTGAGCTCTGCCCACATGTTTATGCTGCTTACCTTCAGCAGGGAGTGGGCAAAGGCTTCAGGTCATCGAGCAAATGCTGTCTTTCCATCTGAGAAAGGTGCTGAATAAAGTTTGTGAATAGAGGCCTTAAAACTGAATTTTAATTTTTCACAAGGCAAAAAAAATAATTAGTATAGCTAGGGATGCCATTACAGCCCTTGAAGTGTAAGAACTGCTTGTCCCTATGTTGACATTAGCTTCCATTATGTGTTTTTTTTTTGCACACGTTCTGAGTCGTTAGTGCAAGTTGCTCTTAGTAATAACAAAACACAGTTTGTCCCTCCTGGGACTTGTAGGGGATTTTTCTTATTTTAATTCTCTGCTCACAGTTTGGACTGTTTGCATGCAAGTGGGTGGAGGTGGTTTGTTGTGTCAGCCCAGAAATTGGAGAGATGCCACACTGAATTTGGTCTGCAAGGAGACAGGAAGCACTCAGGGCTGAACAGGCTGAGTTTCCAGCAAGCTTTTGTCACCTACCGGTTTGATAGTTCACTATTTGTGTGCTGTGATAAAAATCAGTGCCTAACACTGAAGGTGGATGTGATTTTTCTTAATGTTTGTGAGGCAGATGAATGGAATCGAAGCATTCCTTAGCTTGATTGACTCTCGTGAGGAATTAGATATTGAGAAGGGAAAACTTTTGAACTTAGCTTTGTGAATTAAAGAGCACGATATGCTGTCACTGAAATCCTCTCTGAGGATTCTGTTTCTCCCTCTATCACTGTTCATTAAGCAGCATGCCAGAAGCTACAGTAAGTTTTGCCAGCTTGTGGCTGGAGATGTAGTGCCCCTCAGCAAGGCAGGCCTTGGGATGTGAATCAAAGCATGGCTGTGAACGGCGTTTGTCGTTTGAAGAAGCTTATCACATTCTTGCCAGCAGTGAAATGAAAACAGCAACAGATTTGTTTCGCATGCTAGCAGTTATCTGCGTGCTGAAGCTTTACCTTTTCCTTGCTCCAAAAGATTTACGTTGGGCGCTGGCAGGGCCTGCATCTGCTTAGACCTCTCCAATGCTCACTCGTGTTTCCGACGCTGATAAGTTTGTTTAAACAACGAGCTTTGGCGTAGCATGCATTCCTGAGTGAGGATAGTTGTGACAGATCCACTTGAGACCTGACAAAGTTCAGCAGTGTTTTTCAGTGCTAATTGCTGGAGTTAAGGTGGCTCTTCCTACCAGACAACATTCAGGATCCCTGAGCCACCGGGAGCCCGTGCCAGGCAGCCAGAGGTGTGCAGTTGTGGCTGGATGGGTTGCTCTGCTGGCTCTTCAGTGCGGGCCACTCTTTTCAGGCCCTGCTGCTTCAAGAGCAGGAAACAATCTTAACTAGATCTGTCACAGCCGAGGCCTTGCTTTTAGGAGGAAGAGATCTAAGTGCAAGATCCAGGAAGACCTGATAGTGCCCTTTCAGTATGCAGAGAGAGGTGTGAGAAGGAAGGGCATGGACTCTTTAGCGGGGTCTGCTGTGATAGGACAAGGGGAAATGGTTTCAAACCAGAAGAGGGGAGATTTAGACTGGCCATAAGGATGAAGCTTTCTACAGTGTGGGTTATGAGGCACTGGCACAGGTTGCCCAGAGAAGTGAGGGATGCCCATTGACTTAAAGGTATGGGTAACTTTTCCTCTCCTCTCCTGTGTGCAGCTGGGATGTATTGCAGAACTGCTACCAGGCCTCAGGGCTGCACAGGAGGTGTTGGAGCACTTGTGTCAGGCACACTGCAGTGCTGCTGCAGCTCACTGTCTGTCCTGGGCAGTCACTGACAGAACAGCTTCAAGGGTTAGCCTGCCAGTCCTCTGTGCTGTGGAGAGGAGAACTTTTTCAGATACTGTGCTAAAGTGACTTTAGTGTCTGTGAAAAATAGGCACTATATCCATATATAGGCTTGCAGGATGGTTTTGCTCTTGTGAGGTTTCCAGCTGCGGTAAGCCTCTGATATTGCTGACATATTTGTATCGTGGCTCGGGATTTATTTGATCTAACTTTGAGAAGAGGCTGAACTCTGATCCCACTCACTTCTTTTTACAAAGAGCAGCCAGTTGCTCTTGCCAAAGCAAAGATGTGCGTGCTGGGGTTCCTCAGAAGATTGCCTCCTTTACCTTCTTGTTTTGTACACTAAGACACGAATTGCCCAACTTGTTGACAGTGAAGGAGATGATCTGGTGAGAGACAGACCTGCGTCTTTGTAGAAATGAAAGATGACAGTGTTCCATAAATTCAAGGTCATGTATCATTAAGTGCGTTCCTCTCAGTCTCTCTCTTAGCAAGTATGCTGGGTGTAGCGCAGTGAAACTGGAGCACGTGTTCAATCTAGCTGCATATGATACTTATTATTGCATGTAGATATGGAAGGGAAGTTTTTCAGACAAGAGTTTTGTGTGACTTCAAAGAGGTTTTCCTGAACGTCCTTTGATTTCTTACTGGATCAGATGCCCAAGGGCTCCTTGGAGACTGACTGAACAGCCGGGGTTCCCCCTGCTGGCTGCCTGTGTTTGGAAAGTACTCCATCAGCGAGCTGAATGAGAACTGTGGGGAACATTCATATCAAACAGGCTTCTGTCGTTCACAAGACAATTGTTACAGCCTTTGTGGTATCACTGCCTTATCAATGTAACATTACATCTTTGTAATGAGGTGATATTGGGCTAAGGGAAATGGCTTTGCTCCAAACAGGTGAAATAACCAGCAGTGATTCTTACTGTAAGGAGAAAATGCTGTGGCTGTTTCATTTGTGGCACTAAATAGACGTGTGTTGCAGGGCATCGCTGGGCAGAATGAATGAAATCTGTTAGTTTTGAAACCACACGCATTTTAAAAGTTACTTAATAGCTCTGGATGATTACATCCTATCACAAGCCTCAATTATTGAAGATTGTTTTGCAAGGAATCCACAGGAAAACATCACAGTTTGGGGGTGAGAGCCAAGTAGAAGTAGTATGTAAGTAGTATGCATAGCAGATATGCATGCATATCTTTCAACACGTGAGCTTTAACGTCTTCCCCTTTGTAAATGGAAGCTTTTATTTGACTCATGTGGTGCTTCACTTAAAGAAGAGAGTAAATGTCGATGTTTTTATCTTATTAAAAGCATCTTTTCATCCTTATTCTGCGAGTCATTGAAGGAAAGCAGTATTTTCATTAGTGCCCTGAAGCCATAATGCAGGCTTTGCAGAAGGCAGCATATAAATTTGTGGATATAAAAAATTGTGTGTGTGTGTGTGTGTGTGTGTGTGTATGCATTAATCTGTGGTTACACATATTTATACCTTCACAACTCTCTTGTTACACAGCAAAGCAGTGTTTGGCTGGGCTGGAAAGCTGCCAAATGAAACCTATGCTGTCCAGAAATGGAAGTAATGGGGTATGTGGGTAAAGTGCAGCATAGTGAGTGGAGTCATCCACACATTGCTCTGTATAACTCCAAGGAAAAGAATAGGAGTGCTGACTGATTGGAAAGACGTGGAAGTTTTGAGTTAGTTCTCTCCAATGAAATCTATTAGCTTAACCTCAGCTATGCCCTGCTTTCCTCTGAAGCAGATCTCTATTGCTTCCTCAGCCATTTCAAAATCGTTCTTCTCTGTAGCTCTCCTAGGCTCTTGATCTGGGTCAGCTGTTTGTTTTTGACAAGAATCTTTGTAGGAAACCATCTCGATTGCTGTACTGAGCGTTCCCAGAAGCTGACACCTGGGCTTCTTGCATCTGCCCAGGTTGTATGTGGTTCTGCTCCGCCTTCTGAGCATTGAACTGGTCTTGGTTCCTGGTAATTTCCTTGCTCCTAAATGCTGCTTTGACTCCAGTCTTTTTTTTCTCCTGGGCTGCTTTTAGCGTAAGTTTGGTTTTCTGAACCAATAAATTGCAGGAGAGTCCTGAAGTCATAGACCAGCTGTTTGTTTAGACTTTGAGCTGGTCCCAGATATGTGATTGCAGGGTCAGTTTTTGTCGTCTGAGCCTTACGTGGGTTTTTGCTTGAAGTCAGACGCCTTTTCTCACAGAAGGAGAACACTGAACTTATTGGAGCTTCTGAGCCGTACATTTCTTTTACTTTTTTTCCTCTTCTTTCTGGGAGAGGTGCAGATGCAATCCAGTCCTTCAAACCTCAGTTGGTGCCTTGCTTTTTAGAGGGGTGGAGTTGCTTCCATTTATTTAAAGTCCATAAAACTGTACCTGCAAGAAACTGTCTTGATCTGGAAGTGCGTCCACCTTTCGTTTGAACAGTTTTGATCTCTCTACTTAAGTAAGTGGCTTTTTTAGGTTCATTAGAGAAATTGCTAATGAAAAGTATCTCAAAGGTTTAAGAATTACCCTTCTGACATTGTTTTGCCTTCTCTTGTACTTCATTATCTAATGATTCCTTCTAAACCTTTGCTTTACAGATTGAGGAGCGGCCAGAAAAAGATTTTGAGAAGGTAAGAAGGATCATGTGAACTGCTCTGACAACAGCACAGCTGTTTTTTCTATCTCAACTTGTAGTGAGTTTGAATTAGCAGAGCTTTCTATTACTCAAATCATATCACAGAATGGCCTGGGTTGAAAAGGACCACAATGATCATCTTGTTCCAACCCCCTGCTATGTGCAGGGTGACCAAACCAGCAGCCCAGGCTGCCCAGAGCCACATCCAGCCTGGCCTTGAATGCCTGCAGGGATGGGGCATCCACAGCCTCCTTGGGCAACCTGTTCCAGTGTGGCACCACCCTATGGTTTTTGAAGACAGACTTGAAACCATCATGGTTGTTCAGGGGTTAAGTTGACATTCAACAGCACTGACATTGCTACAGGCTAAGCCATGTGAATATTGGTTTTATTTAGTAGAGCTTAATGGTGGTATTGCATAAAAATAGATAAAATGAAGATCGTACTGCAGCAGTAAGAAATTGGCCTTACCCCCACTACTCTAACACAGTGTTGCCACTGCTGCAGAGCAGCAAGTACAAATGAAAGCAGAAGAGTTTGAGGAGCAGTCAAAAGCATCTAAGACATAATACAAGTTCTGAAAGTGTCTGGCAAGATGGTACTAGCCCCTAAGGATTTTGTCTAATTGAGAGTTAATACTTAGAAGTTGACTTGTGCACAAAGGTAACAATGTTTAGCTCTAGTCTCCTTTTTCTCATTACTTCTTTTTGCTAAAACTTGACCTCAGTACTTCCTGAGAGATGTTAATGGAACTTGCATTAACTTGTAGAAATGCATGGGTTCTTCTTTCCTAGCCTGATGTTAAAGCTGCCCTTGCTGAGGAGCTGAGTAACAGCAACTCCCATTCCCCTGGGTTTGGTTTTAGCCACTCATTTCTAATGTTTCCAGTGGCATTAGAGACCAGTTAGGTGCCAAAGACACAGTTGCTGTTTTGTCATTTATCAAGAGATAAATAGTGCACGTTATGTGCATTAAAAATAATATGTAGAAGAAATATTCACAACCCTGTTTAACTGTTTGTGATTCCAGGGAGCACGTACTGTCTCAAGTCTATCAGCAGCTACCTTAGCTTCCTTGGGTGGGACTTCTTCACGAAGAGGCAGCGGGGATACGTCCATCTCAGCAGATACAGAGGCATCTATTAGAGAAATAAAGGTGAGCTGTTCTTAAAGCCAACATAAACTGTATTGAACTATGGCTTTTTTTATCTGAGTGCCTGGGTAGTCCATAACTGAACTCTTTGGGTTTTTTTTCTGAAGATTGCTTTAAGGCTGCATTCTGAAATCTATTTTTAAATTGGAAACGTGTGTTCTGTTAACTTCCAGTCATTACAGCAAGTTAAAATATCTGGAATTTCCACTGGAGAGCTCAGATACAAGCAGTTCAGTCCTGCTTCAGCACCATAAGAAAGCTGAAAGCAATCGTTTGGTGGTGACCAAGGACAAAGAGGAGAGGCATAGGCCTTACAATGCATTTAATGTGATGGATGGATTTTGTACAGTCTCTTCTTATAGTGCTAGTACAGCCTGTATTTCAGACTTGCTTGGACAGCTTCAACAGAAGATATCAGAATTCCCCAAAAAGGATCATAGTGAAAAAGGGTAGAGAAGGGCTCTGACTGGGACACGTTGGAGACCTAGAAGTTGGAGCTGTGTCTTGGCCTTGTTGTTGATGTCATGGTTTTTCCAGTCAAGAAGAGGAGAATTAGGATAAACTTCTGACCCAGACATTCCACTCTCTAGCAAGGCTTTCAGATTACGATCAGACTGCTTAACTTGTGTTGTAGAAATACGTACATGAGAACTTTGGATACTTGCTCTTCCGTGTGCATTTGTACTCATTAGTCTCAGTGACATCACTGACCTTTCTCACCATTTCTCTCAGGATATCTATGAGTTAAAGGAGCAGATTCAAGATGTAGAAGGCAAATACATGCAGGGACTGAAAGAAATGAAGGTACTGGTGTACTGCAGTGTGAAGTGTGCTAATTAACCCCAGCTAAAAGTTCACAGAGCCAGAGTGAGACCTAGCACTGACCTTGAGCACTGACCTTGCACACTTTTCTTCTGGGAAGGGTTGTAAACTGTGGAAAGCATTGCATTACCAGGAGAATTGTCCCTTCTGGTGTCTGTTGATTGTGGTGAGCAATGCTTCCAAATATGAACTGAAAGACTGCTGATTGCTATTGCATGTCTTACTTGTTGTTCTGAGAAGGTAATCATTCTGCTTGCAAATGAAAATTACTAGATTGTGGGTGTGTGTTTTTTTTTTTTTTTAAATAGCTGTGTAATCCAGGAAGCCTCCCAAAATTGAAAGCTGGCACCAAGGAAGCACTTCCAACTTCCACAAAGCTAGAAAGGAGTTTTGATGCAACGACTAACATGCATCTCTAGTGATTTGTACCTAAGCCACAGCAGGTCTCAATAGCAGTGTTTAATTCTGGCTTTACTTGGATGTAAAGGTGTCCAGGTGCCCAACTGTGGTGAAACTTGGTGCTAATAAAACCAAATGTAGCATGCTGAAGGAGTGCTGCAGCAACTCCCTTAACTTACTTACATGTACTTCCTTTCCAGCTAATTTCTGAGATTAATCTTTCCACTGTTTCCAAATACTGACTGCTTTCCTGTGCTTAATATTTCTTACCCTTGGGCTGGAAAGCATGCCAAAACACAACTTGTGTTTCAGGAGATAAGTTTATACAGGCTCAAAGACAAATGCTCTTATTTGTCGATAGAAATAGAAAATAAACTGGTTCAGAATTACTGTTGTGATCATCTCACTCCGTCATCCCCAGCTCTGTTTATTGAATGGAATGGGAAGTACATGGAAGTTGCCCGTGCTATAGGAGCAATGCCAATAGTGCTGAAGTTCCTAGAAAAGTTGCTTGATCTGGAAACTAAAACAATGTGTGTCTTAGCATATTCTCACTGGTTTGCCCATGTAAGACCTTTGTCACCATATTAAAATCAAGTACTGCAAGTTTGGCTGCACAGCATGGGAATGGTCCTGATCTTTATTTTGCCACTGTCTGTTGTTACAAACATCTCAGTCTCTTGTATTCAGGCCAAGGTGTTAAGATGGGTTTTCAGGACACTGGGATTTGTATCTTGCAGAGTAAACTTGTTAAGATGGAAAGCGATTTAGGAAAGAAAAATGGTGCATCACATCACAAAAGCTGCAGCTTTCACAGCAAATTTTAACTCCTGAGTTAGTGTACTTAGTTATACCAATGTCTCCTACCTCACACTGAAATTTGCCTGAAGTGGCTGTTAAACTGCCTTATTTTAAAGCCTACCCCACTGAGATTGGATGACCTAAAATGATCTTAAATCAAGGTTAGTTTACCTTTAAAGAAAAAGAATTTGCAACTTGTCATATCTTCATCAGCTGCTTTGAGCTGCCAGCATTCAGGGGCAGGGGGAGGAGGGAGAAGGAGGAAAACCCTGAGAAAGCAGGAGCTGAAGCAGCAGAGAACAGGAAGCGTTTTAATCCATCCCAAGGTAAGGCTTCTTGCTCGTTAACAGAAGTGGGAACGCAGGGGAGGTTATCCTCACCTTGGGACAGCTGCTAAGTGTCCTGCAGATGATTAGCACTGGTTTCAACAGGACTACTGAGGAGGCTTGTGGTTTCATACCTTCGTTTTCTCCCTTAAGGTCTCGGCTGGCAGAGCGATGTTTTGTGGCTGACCTCTCACTGTGGCTGCTTGTTGTTTGCAGGACTCTCTAGCTGAAGTCGAAGAGAAATACAAAAAGGCTATGGTGTCAAATGCTCAACTAGACAACGAGAAAACAAATTTCATGTACCAAGTAGATACCCTGAAGGATGCACTCTTAGAGTTAGAGGAACAGCTCGCGGAATCCAGGAGGCAGTATGAAGAGAAGAGTAAAGTATGTATGCAGAAACGGCGTGTTATTTAGCAGTGAAGGACTTGTGGGGGGCTGACATCTTTGAGAGGATCAAAGCAAATCGCTATTCCAGATTTTAAATAAGTTATTTTTTATAGAGCAGCATGCTATGTGCTTGCAGTCATACGAGTAGAATTTTTCCTTCAGCTTGTGTTTGAGAAAGCAATTTCTGAAGTGAAGAGATATTTAATATGGGAAGGATACACTGTAGTACTACTGTAGTATCAGACATCCTTTTGTACTGTACATTGGAGGTAAAGATTTTGTTTGTGGTAATTTCTGGAGTGTTTTAATGCATGAAACTCTCTTCCAAAGGGAGTTGTGCAGCTTGTAGATTTAAAGCAGCTGCATGGTTGAGCATTGCATTGTTTTGCATGAATTCAGCATCTGAGAGCTAGTAAGCTGGTGTTAAATAATACATCTGGTGCTTGGGTTAGCTTCTCTGAACTGTCCCTTTAGCATGGGGGCATTTTACTATAGTGTGCTGCAAAACATACAGTTCCTGGAGGATTTGGTGGTTGGTTTGTTTAGTTTTGGTTGCTTCACTGGTTGTCTTTTCATCTGTTTCGTTTTGATTTGGGTTTGGCTTTTTGTTTGTTTGGGGTTTTTTAAGTCCTTAATGTCTAGTGAATTTTTTTGCACTGTTCTTACATAGGAAGTGGGGGTTAAATTCCCATCCACTCATCTGTGAAGTCAGTAGGAGTTGGGTGTAACAGCTGTTCACTGGCATCGTGCTGCGCAGTTTGTGAAGCTGGCTAAACGATGTCTGTCACTTCTATGTTTGATGTAGTCATAGTTCTTTGGGAAAAGGACAAATAAGACAACAATAAAACTGTACTCTTGTGGGACTGTGATTAGGAGCACATTGAGGAATTGCGTGGCAGTGAGCGTTTTCTTGGTTGCTGGGCTTATTTCCTCCAGTTTTTCATGGGATGCTATTTTTGATCGATTCCATCTCATGAATTTTTCATCATTCATAGGAATTTGAGAGAGAGAAGCACGCTCATAGCATATTGCAGTTTCAGTTTAAGGAAATCAAAGAGGCTTTGAAGCAAAGAGAAGAAATGCTTGCAGTAAGTAACTTCATTCTTTTTACTGGTTCGTTTGATCGGTGTGTGCCCAGTTAGCAGTAACTGTGTAGAAAGGAAGGAATGTTGTTCCCTTCTCAAGTTTGTCACCTGAAGAAATATTAGTGTTCCAGGCCAAGCAGGTTCAGAGCTAACTGACAGGAAATAGTATTTTCCTAAGTATTATCTGAAGTTGTATTGTCCACAATGTGAAATAAGCTGTTTTCTCAACAGCTGCTTTGTGGAGGTGTAGAGGAAAGCAGTGGAACTGTCTAACTTTGTAAATCAGCTTGCAATAGTAAGATTGCCTTAGGAGAAGCATAGATTGGGCTGAGGTGTGAGACGTTACGATATTGTGCATGCAGATACCCTTTTACTTCACCTGACTTTGTGTTCTTTGGCATCGCTGCAATCTCGACTGTCTTTGTTAACCTGTTCCCTACTTTCTGTCTTCTCATTTTGCTCCTGTCTCTCAGGAAATCCAGCAGCTGCAACAGAAACAGCAGAGCTATGTCAGGGAAATTTCTGATCTTCAGGAGACAATAGAGTGGAAAGACAAAAAAATAGGGGTAGGACTGTCAACTCCTGAAGTGTGTTCAGAGTGGCATTGTCGTTCTTCAGCTGATCCTGCTTTTGCAAAACCCCATGAGTAATAATACTCCTGAGTGACCCTGCTTGGTGTGGCTGGCTTAGTGTATTTCCAGTGCACTAGCAAGTAGCGCGTTTTGTCTTTGTTCAACACTATAAAATCCAAGAAAAACTTAGCAGCTGTTCTGAATTCGAAACGCAGGGGTTTTTATTTGCCATGGTGCTTCATTTGTGTGTGTTGTACTGAGAAGGAAAGTGCTATTTATAATGCTGTCAGCACTGGGTTCTTTTTTGCTTGTTTGGATTCAATCTGCAGACTGGAGTGTGATCAAGAAGCAATAGAGCTCTTTGTGGCCTGTGGGGATGAAAGTCCCGAACTCTCCCTTGCTTCTCATGCCTTCCCACCACCCCTTATCAAAGCCAAATAGAAACATGCTCTTAAAGAGAAGCATTGCTTTCTTTCCTAGCAATGAATACTGGCAGAATTTCTGAATATAGAAGGGAAATGTCATACTGCTGACGTCCAGTAACTTGCAATTTGACACTCAAGTGTCTGATTTTTGTTACTGTTCTATTTGTGCATTTATATAAGAAATATCAAGGCGGATCCGTACTAGATGACACCTTTGCAACACATCCCAAAGTCTGGATGACTTAATTGCAGTTTTCGAGTTAATTGAAATGTAACGCAGCCATCATAGTAACCTGTGCAATTAATAGCCCTTTTATAGACCATTAAAATGTCAGGCCTGCTTTCATCCTCTTGTCTGAGTACATGGGAATCGCTTTATGTCTTCAACGTACGCGTTGAAGTAATATGAATGGACTCATCTAGCAGATAAGAGGGAAAAGTAGATCCTCATTTGAAGGATTTCTAATGAAGCTTAGGCTCCGAGTGTCTTTAATAGGAATTCCTGGAGCTGATTATTACTGAATAAGCTGTGCATTTCTTGGATTTGAAGCTTGTCTGTGTGTCTGAAAACTTGGTCCTTTAGTCTTTGAACTTTACTTTTTCCACATATCACTTCCACGAATCTTTGAATATCTTAAATCTGCTCATTCTTGTTTACACTTGCTTTTCATGATCTTTACTTTTCTCCTTTTCCTCTCTTCACATCTCTTCCCTCTCTGTCTGTGTTGCGAACTCAGGCCTTAGAGAGGCAGAAAGATTTCTTTGATTCCATAAGGAGTGAGCGGGATGACCTTAGAGATGAAGTGATTATGCTGAAGGAGCAACTGAAGGTATGCAAGAGGAGTAAGAGAAGCTTGCTGCTTACTGACTGCTGACCTTTCCTTCCTATGCATTTTTGTAGCTGAGTAGCAAGAACTCTTGCCGTGTTGCCTATAAGTTGCCATTTCAGGCGTTTTCTGATAAAGTCCTTCGCCCTAATATTGATTGTGAGCTCTTAGTAGAGCCTGTAATGTTCAGCATTAAACTGTTGCTTTTGTAGGAGACTCATCTCTGAGAAGCCCTTGAGACAGCAGAATTATGCTTAAAGATCGAAGCCTTGCTGGTATCACGTGCTTTCTGTGATGCTGGCTAAACAGAGAACTGTAATATCCTGTGCTATTTTCTGACTTCCAGCCATTTGTAATGGAGCAATTGAAGCAATGATTTGATCAGAATGTCAAGGACAAGAACATCTGAACGATCCTACTCTTAACTGAGCGGCAGGCTTTAAAGCGTTGCTTTTGCTTCCCCGTAGAAACATGGAATAATCCCAGACTCTGAGGTAGCCACCAATGGGGAGGCATCAGACGTTCTTGATAATGAAGGGCACTTGGATTCTTCCAAAACAGTTCAAGGCACAACGCAGGCATTAAAGACAGCAGGGGACGGGATGCTAGGTAAGTGCTGGCTGTCCTTCTGTATCTTTCTGTCTGTCTGTCCGCTCGTTCCTCTCTGCTTGGAGTTTGGGCTTTTGTCAGTGGGACAATTAACACGTCACGCAGCATGCCACTTGTTGAATCACTTGTGCTTCACATCACGTTGTGCATTTTCCTGCTTCATATTTAGTATCACTTCAAGTGTGTTGTGCAGTTTCCTGCAAAGGCAGACTTCATTCCCCCTTGGAGGTGACAAAGGACAAGAATACCAATATTACACGGTACAGATAAGTAGCAGTCACTCGGATTACTATTTAAACTGTGAACTGTCCCAAATTCATGTCATTCAGCGTTTTTCTGCACGCATCTTAAAGAATCAAGATCAAAGCATTTTAGTTTCACATAAAAAGCTTGTATGTTGGTTCACTTACGTACCTGAGAACTGTCAGCATTTGCTGAACAGAAACGGTGGTCACCATTAAAACCCTCTGGTGCATGAATTCTTTATTCTTGGTATCTCATACTGTTGAGCAGTTCATTTTACCACTTCAGCCTCTTATGATGGAATGAATGGCATTAAATTTAATGAATTTGACTCTGAGACAGATGCTGTAAGGAAGGAGAAATCTGGTTGGCAAAAACTTCCTCCTTGTCCAGTTGTGATGAGTGACCACTCAGAGAACTGTTAAAATAGCAAAAGGGATTTTTGTTGTTACTGCTCTAAATCAACATCATAGTAAATAGCAAGAAGCAGCCAACAGTTGCAAGTGCAATTTATCTTGCTGTTGGCTGCTTTTTCCTCACTCTGTTTTTGTATGGAAACAATATGGAGCACCAAAATCAAGGTAAGGGTATATATTTAAATGTAATATGCCTTCTGTCTTTCCTTATTCTGTTTATTTGAAAACAGGTACAACATAGACTCGAAAGCTAACTGCTGAAGCCGCAGTGTTGATTTAGTACCTGTTGCTTCTAAGTAAAGTTGGAAGAAAACAACAACCAACCTACAGAAGTCCCCATCCCTTTGAGTGGATGGAGTGGCACTAAGTGTCTGTGTTGGTAATGTTGAACAGCTGAAACATGTGCTTGCCAATCAGATTTATATATACGTAAACACTGATGGTGCCTGTGATGAAATCCTACCGAGTTACTCTTGCTTACTTCATTTACTGGCATCAGAACACTCTGGCATGCACCGCTGTTAGGCTTCAAGCTGTAGAAAATAACTGCCCAGGAAGTGCAATCTTTACAGTTACAGAGTTACATCTGCAGATACCCTTGTTAAATTGCACTGCTTGAAACAGAGTTGTTTTCATCTCCAGAAGCTGTAATTCACATAGCCAAGAGCATAGACCTTGACAAAAACACAGGCCAGCACTGAAGGCTTTTCTTGCTTTGAGAGGGTGGTGGTGGTGAATTTCACTGATCAACAAACCCACCCCCTTACTAATTCAATTGCTGCTTTGCCTCACGTAATTGGCAAAAGCTGATCTTCCATTAACCTGTTCTTTGATTCATTCTCTTTCGGGTTTTAAGTGGGGAGGTAAGAGCTGTGGTGCGGTCCCTTCAACTTTCTCAATGGTCTTTTAGGCAAAGCCAAGGAAGTGGACATGAAAAATGAGATTTTGGAGGATGTGGGGAAAAGAGAAATCTTGCAGAATTCTGAGCGTGAGGAACACAAAGAGGAGTCTGAGGAACAGGAAGTACAGACATTGCATGCTGATGAAAATACAAAGGCAGAAAAAATGATTGAAGAAACTGATGCTCTGTCAACAGTGGCGTTACCAGATAGTAGGTTCACAGAACAAATTCAAAGCCTTACAGAACCCGTGTCAGGGAATGCTTCTTCAAATGATGATAGTGATGCAGGTGATTTGAGAAAGGAGACGCAGTCAGCAGACGCAGCAGCCCAGCAGCCTGTTAGCGAGGAGGTTGAACACAGTAACTTAAACCCAAGGACGACGGAGAACTCAGAAATGGGCTCACTGCAAGGTCAGGATTTTGAGAGTCCTCAGGAAGCGCACAGTGACTTAGGTGTAGAGCATGAACTGGAAAAAGCTGCTCCACAGCAGGAAGAAGGAGAGGATGTGGAAGCTAGCCATGCCCTGAGTGCTAATGAGGTGGAGCAAGCAGCAGGCAGTGCAGGTGACAGCGGTGAGACGGTATCTGGCCGGTCAGGGCTACCAGAGCCTGTGCTAGCAGGCTCGCGTAGTGAAGAGGTAAAGGTGGAGGGCCGTGCTGAAACACTCCAGAGCTCGGAAGAAAGTGCTGAAAACAAAGTGGCAGAGGTCTTGGAGAAAGCTCTTGTTGAAAGCAAAGACTGCGCTGATGGAACAGCTGATGAAACTGGAGGTGGTAGAGCTAGAGAACAAAATGAGGTTGGGAGTGCAGTTCAGGGTCAGAAAATGAAAAGAGATTCCACAGGCTTAGAAGGGGAGGAGTCGTGTGAAAGTGGTGCCCCATCAGATATAAATGAAGAGGGAGGAGATCAGGCACACATCCAGCCAGTTTCCTCAGAGGATGGTGAGTTAGCATTATCAGAGGAGCAGAATACACAGGAGCAAACAGAACTTAAACCTGCTGAGAAAGATGGACAGGAGGCATGTTCAGATTCTGCAGAAAAGCAGGAGAAGGCATCCGGGGAGCCTGTGGGCTCTGCTAACAAGGTAGAAGGAAGTGCACTGCATCAGACAGAGCCAGACACGGGCACTGTGAAAGAAATGGCATCTCAGGAAACAAGTTTAGACCCAGGCTTTTCAGATGATGGAATCGAGGAAACAGAAATGCAAACAGGAGACGTGTCTGGGAATGGAGAGGAAAACAAAATAGAATGCTTAGAGCGTAATAGAACAGAAGACTTAAAGCCAGAGGCAGAGCTTCAAACAGTTCAGTGCGGTAAAGAAACAACAGGTGATACAGAGGATGGGAAAAATAGTTCTTTAGAAAGTGAAGCACAGAATGTAGTCCAACATGAGGAAGGTGAATCTAAAGAGGAGTCCATTGTATGTCATAGTGTAACTAGTGAGAACCAGGTAGATAAAGAAGCATTTAAAGAAAATAAAAAACATTCAGAGCTTGCAGACCACCAGGATGATGAACTTACTTCTATGGAAGATGCAGGTAATTCTCTTGCACAGAAAGCTGAGCTGGATGAAAACGTTAGTGAGCAACTTAGACTAGAGGGCCAAGCAGAGGAAGAACAAGAAGATGATGGTGAAGCATTTGATTTTGATGAGGATTCAGAACAGACACTGGAAACTGATGAAAAATGCGATGGAGAAGAAGTTGATGCACAGAGTGAAGAGGATGACAGAACAAACAGCGTGATGAGAAAAACTGCCCAAACAGGCGAAGCTGGAGAGAGAACTGGCAAAATAGAAACCATGGACACCTTGACTGAAGGTGACAGCTTACAGCATAAGAAAGGAAATGAGTCTGAAGAAACAGGGCGCTTGCAAGAGGAAGCATCAGCCCTGAAAACTGACGAGAAGGCTGATGTGTTGGCAGGTGAAAACAAAGCATCAGATTCTAATGAAGCAGAAAAGGCACCAAGTGAAAATGTTCCAGAGCAGGATTTGGAAACTGCTGGCTGTAACAGGGCTGAAAGCAAAGAGGATTTGCGAGGTGGTAGGAAGGGCAAGGGTAAATCTAAAGATGACTGTACGATGTCCTGAGTTCTGAATTTCAGTCCATACAAGTTAGAAGCCATTTGATCAGGCTCTGTACCGAAGCACGCGCTTTGCACGATAAATCAGCCCTTAGGAATATAGGAATACTCTTAAGGAGTTCATTTTTTCCTTGCAGGTAGATCTCATAATACACTGTTTGGTCATGTAAACGGTGATAATGCAAATATTAGATGATTCACTGACGTACCTAGCCACAAAAAATCATCCAGAGGTTTGGTTTTGCTGTGTCTCAGGTTAAATGTGTGTCACCAAACAAAGCAAGCTTCACAAAGGAACTGATCAGGCTTTTGCACTTAAAGTACTTCTGGTGTTGATAACTGCTGCTGAGGAGCTTTTATATGAAATTCCTACTTTCTAGCCTGGAATAAAAGTAGATTATCTGAACGTGCTTGTATGTGCAATAGGACTACAGTAAGAATGTTGATGCTTTGTCATGAAGGAGCTCGGAAGATCAGCAACACTTAGATGTAATGCTAACGTTTGTCGCTGAGCGGTTAAAGCCTAGGAGCCCTTTTCCATAGCAAAAGAAGAAGAAGAAAAAAAGATGCCCTCATTCCACTTTTTGTATGTATGTTTCTAAAAGGACATATTCCAAACTATTGGTAGATCACTGTGAATTAAGGCTCAACTTTGGAGGAACGATACAGGATTTGAAGGAAATGCAACATGTAGGTTGCTGAAGGGAGCAAACACGTATGTGTTTACTTCATCTGGGCACTTTGCACCACAACAGGCCTTTTGCACCATGTCTCACGTGGGTTTTGTATTTTTTTCCTAAGAAAGTGTCAGTACACACTGTAACGTGCTTAGGTTTGCTATCCAATACTGTACCTATGAATATATAAATATATTTTTAAAACAACTGTTTAATATTGCATTCCTTATATATATATATATTTTTTTTGCAAAAAATATTATGAAAGAATGGTTTTCTTTGAAAAATTCTTTCTTCCTCTTTTTCTGGAGAGACGGTAACTCAGGATGTCTTAATCCTCATGGATGTCAGACCAAAGGCTGTTTTTCCACATATGAGCCCCCGTGCCTTTTTTTGGAAAGATGGATTACCTTGTATTACTGGCATCAATGAGACACTTCAACCCATTGATGTATTTCCTCTTGCATTTTTACAGTGCTTGGCAGGAAGATGATGTTTTGCATAGTTAATAATTAGCTGGAGGTTGTATTAAGCGATGAACATGCAAAGGGAATGCAAGTTGAGGAGCTGGGGGGCTACAGAAGGTTCTATCTGTTGATGTTACAAAGTTGACAGAGTTCAAATAGACTGCAAAATTACAAGATGTATATCAAAGTGTACTGAGCTGTATATAATTAAAATAAACATATTTTATACTTCAAATTGTCTGTCCGGAGCACTCTTTGTAAACTTGTGTAAATATTTGTTTAAATCCTTCTTACTTCAAAAACCCTTTTCTAGAGCTTTCTTTTTAAAACGTATTGCTTTGTAGATGATAGAGCTGTCCTGTGAGGAGCAGGCGGCCTTTGAGGACGTCCAGTGTTTGTTGAGACCATAGCTCTGCACTTGTGGCAGGACTGTGAGCCTGTGACTCTTTTCATATGGCTTCTTTCCAGCTTAGAGCAGCTTCAGTGTGGTTTCTGTAAGTATTAGCAGTTGTTCTTACTGTTACACTTAATTCTAATCTAAAGAGTCACCGTTCTCTAAAGCATCGTTTCTTATTATATAGCATTGCGTAAGTAAGATTTCTTTCTTTGCCACGCTCAGCTGTAACGTATGGTTTAATGTTGAAAGTATTCTAAATGCGTGTATATTTAAATGTTACAGTGTTATATTTAACTAAATTCATGCCAGACTTTGCCTAAACTTGCGGATGGGTCTATAAACAACTCTCATTGAAATGAGGCACTTGCCAACATTTCCTCTATTTTTCATGAGTTTGTTTCCAACAGGAGTGCTGCTTGATTGTAGAAGGGAAATTAATGGAGACTTATTTTTAACCATTTTTTCCACTTCAGAAAATACGGCGTCCTTAGAGAAGTCCCTATGTAGAGCTAAGTCATGGAAAGAGATGACACCTCCAGCCTTAACTGTCCTTGTGCGTGCTCTCATCCCACAGCACCTTGCCAAATCTCAATGAAACTAGGGCAGGTGATGAAGAGCAGCTCAGGTATCATAAATCTCCCCATGAATGCTGCTTCTTGGAACCTGTGTCGGCAGCTGGCCCTTGCCTTCTGGAATCAGACAGGTACCATGAAGAAGGAGGGGATCTGGGTGTTTCTGGCTCTTTGCTTTTTACTGGAATCTTCTTTCCTGCTGCAGTGAGCGCTGGTCGCAATGCGTAGGGCTTTCATCTCTCAAAAGAACTTCAAACACTTATTGGTTCTGTGTTTGAGACCTAGGGGCACACGTAGCCTGGAGTGCCGGGTTTATGCGTTACCGTGACTTCACAGCTAGCCTCAAGTGCTGGCAAAAGCAGTAGCTGAAATAACTTTGGTATTCAGCAGGTAACAGTGAAAGGCCTCGGTCAACAGTCCCTTTGAAAGAGTGGTCCTGCTGTCGCCTTCAAAATCTGTGCTGTAAAGCCAGTGCTTCTAACTCCAATACTTATCCTCATGCTTGCTCATGAAATTCCCTCTTCTGGGGAAGAGTGGAAGACGTTCTGTTGTATTATTCTTCTTAATTTAAACAATGTAGTATATTGACGGCTCCAGAGTAGTGGTATTGCCCAGCCTGTTGTTGGATCCCTGCAAGCTGATTGGAATAGCTGCTTGAAACCACTGGTGTATTTTCAGGGGTTGCAGCCTTTGCTGCTTGCCTTCCCATCCTCCAAGGACAGCTTACCCTTTTCAGCTGCACTGCCATGAATTACTTGGTAGACCATGCAAATCATTCAAGTTATCAACAGCTGCATCCCACTGCACACTATGCTCAAAGTAGGAAGAGGCACCGGGTATCTGTGGCTGATCAGGGGATATTAGCTCAGCTTTGCCACTGAAGCAGCACAGTGAGTGAGTCAACTGCTTTCCCAAAGCGATGACAATGGTCGTGTGGCTTCAAGAGCCTGTGCAAGAGCAGAAAGCACAGGTAACCACAGAGCTGCCACCATCCCACCTGTCCTGTTCTCTTCTCAAAAAGAATGGCACTGCGCCCAGCCTGCGCCTGTCCTTCCATTAGGCAGGAATATTTCACCCCGCAGCAGCAGCTGTGCTAACAAGTTATTTGGCTCTTTGGAGTCCCTTAAGTTAGGGCTAATCTCTTCTGCATCAGTCCTTGTTCTCTTTGCCTGCCGTTAGTAATTCCATTTCTTTATCTCTGACGAGCTCTGGCACCAACGCTTATCTGAATATGTGACCTTCCTTTTACTGTTTGCTCTCCTTGCTTTCTTCATTGGATTTCATCTTCCTTCCCTGTCATCTTTTTACAGGATATGTCTTCAGCCTCTTTCCATATAGGCAGATGAAACTGTTTTCTTATTTTACACTTGGTGTTTTTTTCTCGTTAGTTTACACAAACGTAAATGTATTTTTTTGTCTTGTGACAGTGCTCACGTGTAAGTGCACCGGGTGTTACAAACAGCTGTGAAAAGGGATAGGACTTGAGGAGGTTCAAAAGGAATGCACAGAGCTGCTGTACTGGGCTGTTACATTGATATCTGTGTTTGGGTGTCGCATCAGAAGTCGAGGTCAAAGTTTGATTCCAGGCTCTGGAATCACTGCTGATACGGGGAACTTATACATGCATTTATGACCTTTGCATTTTAACAATTGAACAGCTAACAGGCAGGACCTTAGAGGTGGAGCTGAGCACACTCACTGCCTTGGTTCTGCACAGTTGACTGCCTGCTGGCAAGGGAGGGAAACTAAAGAAAACTGCAACAAACGTGTGTGTCGAACCTAAATAACTGCAACAAACAGACATGTGGAGTAAGACCTATCTGAGGTCAGTATATCCTCTTCTGATAAGAATGCTGGAAGGTGATGTTTGGTGTACTTCTGTTGAGATGGCTGAACACGCTCAGGCTGTCAATTAATGAGGTAGAGTGACTTCAATTACTGTAAAAACTGTGAGTTATCATTTGCTGCCTACAGTACCTGCTAAAATACTTTCACGTGTTGCATTACTAGGAAAGAAGAAACAAGTGATTTGGTTACTCACTGCTGTTTTCCAGTTGTCTCATTGTGTATTGTGTTCTTTATTAAACAATGCCACGCACATCTGTTTGCTGATCTGCTGTACTTCCAAGTTCAAGTCACAAGGAGTCTAGATTGCCTGTTGCCTTCTTGATGTCTGACTGGGACGATTGACTGTGAAGGGTTAAAGAGCAAAGAATGCTTACCAGGCTCTTGAGTTTGAAATAAAAATAATGTCGTGGATAAATGTTTCATTTGTCACAGTACTGAAGATAACGTGGTGTCATTTCATGCTGTTCAGTTTTCCTTTTGAAGTGAGGATTTTCAGCGCAGAGAATGTGCATAGCTGTGATTATAGGTGTTTGTGGTGTTTTCATTGTGCTGAACTGTAAAGATTTGTGAGATTTTGTGTTGCAGCTGTTGTGTTTGACCCTAGAGTTCTTGCATGCTAACCTAACGTAGAAGATTAGCCTCTTTGCATGCAGTGGGTGCCGTGACAAGCATGCTCTGTGGGAATGACATAACCTCCCCTGGCTGCAGCCCCTTCCCAGTCCTGTTGTGGCCTCATTTCCCGTGGTACGTGCATAACTGCCTTCATCGTTCCCTTCACTAACCTGAACGGGTCCCTCTTGTATCAGATAACTCTGAAACGCGTGGCTCACTGAAATCAGCACTGAGCTTTCAGTTTTCTCTTTCAGAAAGGCTGAAAAAGCTCATTGGTGAACGAGAGTCCTTACTAGACCAGGTGAGCACGTGAGAACTGAAATGCTGTGTGTTCACTTAACGTATGATAAAAATAATGCAATCTCAGGAAACCAGGATGCCCCTAACACAGACTACAGAACATACATGCTGTTCTTTCAAACGTGTGCTGCTTTTTATTGCCAAAGACTCGGCTGCTTCCCTCTGGAATTCTCCTGTGCGTTAACACAGGGTGTGAAACAGATGACCCAGGGGCCTGTTTTGTGTTGCTAACATTCAGTGCTCTGAGTATTCCAGACTGCTGTCTGTAGCCACCTAAACCTCCTCCTCCATAACTATGTCTGAAAAATAATACTTTGGACTGAGCGAGGCCAAGGGGGAAAAAGCAAATATGGTCCAGAAATTAGAAAAGCAAATGTGACCTCCAAGAGTAAGCCTTCCTGATGGCTGGTTCTGTGGGCAGCAGGCAGTTTGGAGAGAATGCTGGTGGGATTACAGTAGATTGGTAAATAACAAAGTAATTATTGCTGATATCGCGATACAGTGGCTGTGATCTTCATGCAGAACTCTTGAGCTGATCTGTTTCTCTGTGTCACGCTCTATGCTTCCATTTGCAGACAGTATCCTTGGCCTTGGGCTTTCAAGCACAATCAATCACAGTTTGGGGTTACTAAGGATGTTTTATGTGACTGTGCCTACAGAACAGTTCTGGCTTTTCTAATAAAACATTCTTCTTCCTCCTATTATTCTTGGTCCCAAATTTACGCATAAGCACTGATACTTAAACTATGGTGAGTCACTTGCCAAAAGAATTTCTGGGAAATGTAAGAAAAGATGCATGTTTTTAATTTAGTTTGGAGGAAAAAAAAAAAAAAGCTTCATAACATTCAAGAGAGTCCTGAAACAAGTGTCTTATTTTAATAATTGTCTTGTGTACATCAGGTTAAAAAATTAAAGGGACAACTGGAAGAAAAGCAGAAGAATGGCAAGTTGGAGAACGCGCAGTCTGAAGTAGAAGTTCTGGAAAATGGGACGGATATGCACATGATTGACCTCCAAAGTAAGCTGTGCTTTCATTTTGAGAGAACCTTTGTGTCGTGAATGAAGGTGAGAGAATGTGCCAGCACAATGGACATGTGGCCTGAAGTAAGAGTGAGCCCTCAGTCCCAAGGGAATTCCAAAATGGGAGCCAGCCAGGAGGCGCCTCTTCTAGAGGGGAGGGAGCAATCCTTCAAACAAGAACGGGATGGGAAACCTCCTTCATGTTCTGCAGGAGAGCTGAGGACGAGTTCTGTGTCACACCTGCTTCATTCCGCTTTGAGCCACCAGAAGGCAGTCAGGCAGGGTTGGGGTTAGCTGCTATCTATCTGCTGGGCACTGAGTGGGTTTACCTGGCAGCTCTTAGCACAGAAGGAAACCCAAGGCAGGGAGCTGCTCTATCACTGCCCCGAGTAGTTTCCTGGAATGTGGAAGTGTTGTGACAGCTTTGTTGAGCCTTATTCTCACACCTCTTATAAATCTGCAATTCTTTCAGGAGATGCCAACAGG